CACTCTTCAATAAGATAAAACAGCCTAGCAACACGAAAATGAATCTGTAGGAGACCATAAAATTCATATCAGTACAAGAAGAAAGTACAAAGAACCAGTACAAGAACTTGTCTCAAGTTCAAGTCAAGCAAAAAATCCACCTGTTTTTTCAGTCCTTAAACACCATTCCAGTTTCGACACCTAAAGTTGTCGCAGCTGATTAACAACAAAAATTTAAATGATAAAGAAATGAATAATTTTTTTGTACAGTCCAGCAAACTTCAATTACAGCTTATTGCCAAAGAAAGAAAAAACTGAAAAAATTTTAACAGCAAGAAGGACGAGTAAAACCCACCCATTTGTAATTTCCTAATCAACCGAAAAAGGAAGGCAACATCAAATACCACAAGATGTATTACACTAATCTAACGAGTTTCTGATGTCAGTAGCGCAATAAGGCATATGGCGACACTAGTGACCCAAAGACTCGTACGCCTACGCTCCGCACCTAATTGTATAACCCAACTAATAGACTGTAATGCATAATTACTAGCTACGCACATTTCTCCCTAATTTGCTAAAAAAAAAATGAAAGTTGTCTCAAGAAAAGAATTACTCTGTACCACAGAATGAAAAATTACCTTGAAATTTTTCATTTTTTGGAACATCCCTCTTGCTAATTTAAATGCAGCTAAATAAAGGAACTATTTTAAACAAATAAAAAAAGATTAAAGATTTACCAACTAAATCTCCCTCTTCGCATCCCTCTGAATTTTTATATATCTCCGAAAACTCTGCTCCGGCATTTTCTCATCATGTCGCTTTGGGATATAACGTTTGCAAAGTTCGTAAGCTCCCAAGGCGACTAAAATATAAATTTTTGATCGACAGAGTGGTATACTCTATGATCTTTTTCACTTTACGACTAAAAGTTGATCGAATCATCAGAATAAAGTCTTAATAACAATTAGAAATTTAAAAATAATTGTACTTCAAGTAAGCTTTTCTAGACAGTGAAACGCACAACTTTTGAAGCATAATTTTCGTAGCTCCCTCCTCACATAGTATCACCGCATACGCCATTTCTTTTTCAGTTACCTGACGAATACCGAAAACTCAAGCAATTCGTGATCCAACCTTCATTTCCTTTTGCTTCTCATCATCTTCCAAACCAGGCTGTTTAATTTTGACCACTCTGAGATTTTTCAGCAGGTCTTTTACCTGCCCTTCTTCTTTTATGTTGCTTTCACAAACCCAAACACCGATTAAATTTTTTGGGGAATTGAATGTTGTGTTGCGCGGGAAGTGACTCTAGTCGCAATAAACTATTTCATCTAACTCAATAGTATCTCTTCCTCAAATTGCTAACTTCTCCAAAAATGAGTTCAATGCCACACAACAGCATTTGATAGATCTTTTATATACGGCATTTCCCTATCCTGAAATAAAAGAAACGCAAAAAATCTAGAAAACGAACAAAAAAGTCACTCTTGCTAGTAAGATCATAATTCACTCCTTCTCTTACATTTATCTTTTAACACTGGTCTGTTTTTTGAAAGTCATTTCCTGATAACTTTACTTCTGAAAGCTGCTTTGGTAATTACAAACAGAACCTTCCTTGAGAATGCAAAAAGAAACAAAACTCCCAAAATGAAAAGATGTTGAACTACGTGATTTCCAAAGAAAATCCAAGAATTCCCTTCTAACTGGCCCGACATTCTATTTCCTTTTATGAATAAAGCGTGACGTGAATTTAGCAAGCACCTTCCAAGAACCCTAAGTAGAATTACTACGGCGCTTCAGAAAATGTGCTAAACTGTAATTAAAGCCTTCTTCAGGATTCCTTTCCAAGGCTTCCTCAAGGTTTCTCAAATGATTCTCTATTTAAAGCCAACACTGAAAATACAAAGCCAAAAAGCACTTTGCAGTTTTCAGTCCCAAACTAAAAAAAGACTGGATTTTTTGCCAGCAGACTTGTTCTAGCCATCGTGATAAAAAAAGCAAATATATTCCACAGAAGAAAACTTTTCACTTTCATACGCAGAGTCATCTGGTAATTGAAGACTCCACTGGTGCAACGGTGCTCATAAAGTACAAAGAGAATTTGGCAAAGTAAAGAAACGGCGCAGTTGATACCAACATAACTTACGCTAAACAAAAAAATAACTTAAACAGGTGTCAAAAGCCGGAACTAATTTTCCAATACCCATTACTGTTACAGCAGCAACGAATTCTTAAATCATGTACCTTAGTTTAGCAGACGGGAAAAAAACCATTATTTTCCTATTACCGAATTAAAATCCACGAACTAAGAATTTCACCAAAGTGCAAAACATTCCCCAATATCATTATTCCTCGTACCGAGGACTGCTGTCCTTTTCTCTTTCCTTCCACAAATCAGCCTGCTGCAAGTAGACGTCTACACGTGCACCCACAGACTGCATGAGTTCATGTTCGAATCAAATATTCATGCAACATGTGAAAACGAATATGTTTGAACTTGACTGCTTTACAAGAGGTGTTACATTTTGTAATGATAAAGGAAGTCATGGAGGTATTAAAAAAAGTAAATAAAAATGTCAAACGTACAAATAAGCCCGAAAAGATACTTGTATGATTCCAGATCCATCCAAGAAACCTTCTTTTCCAAAAGTTTCGAAAGCTTAATAAACACCATTACGTTTCCATTGACCAAACCTGCAAGATGTGTCACTAGCTGTTACAGAACCCCTTCCAAAAACATAGTATTGCAGAACATAACTATAATTACTACAAACACACAAACGTGTTGTAACAACACTTCTAAAAGACTAAATCACGGGAGTTCTGAATGATTCTTTACTTAATAATCTTGCTATTGGTACGTATAAAAAAAAATGACGCTGTGACAGTAGCACCTTACCACAACATATGGCTGCCTTATAGTTAGGTAAGCTAAACCCCCTTAAACTTTTTATCAATAAATCATCTTCGTCTTCTGCTTGCAAAGCTTCTGACCACCATTTTAATCACCTGTGACAAATTAAGACTTGTCTATTTACCTGTTCCTAATCTTCTGAGGATTAGCTGCTTAACTCTAATTTCACCGCTTAAGCAGGTTAACAACATCGCGTCTCAAACAACTTCTGCTGTACTGAATAACGAAGTTGGAACTGAAATTGCAACCAGTGAGTTTGCAGGAAATAATCAGGACCTTGCAAACATCACTGACAAAGCAAGAACCAAGTTTAGGGCGATTACGCTCCGCTGCATTAGCGCTTAACATCCTAATCTCTACCAACCAGAACCAGTCACGCCAATGTTTACCTACAGCAAGGAAATAAAATTGAAGTTTCTCTTCAGATTTCATTGAACTCCTCCGCAAACTATTCAAATTGACTAAATGAAAACAAAATTTCGAACAAACAAAAAAAAAAATGAAGTTTTAAATTTTTGAAACAAGATATCTTTGTGCGAAATTTTTCGCTCTTTTTTTATTTTCCAACAGAATTAAAAAAATAAATGTGCATTTAAAAGTTCAGGACATGACAGTTTAAAACGACCTAATGGCAACCTGGCGAAGTTTGCAACTTTGCGGTTGTGAAACTTGCGGGGAATTCACTTTTCTAAGTTTTTTTAGCTTTTTCACACTGACCTACACCCTACTATTCAGCAAAATTTGAAAAAATTCTGAGATGCATATATATAATTTATAATACCATGTATAGTAATATATAATATAATATATTTATAAGCGTCATAAGGACAGGACAACCATCATATAAGTTAATAAAAATCTAAAAATACCTAACAAGAGGGAAAAAAATAAA